CTAGTGCGCCCCCTCTCCCCCCAGTAGACCAGGCTTTTGTTGCGGGACGCCTCGGGTAGAGCAGCTGGGGTGCTGCCGGATTGGTCCTGTGGGAACCCACCGGGCAGCGCCCCAGCTGTTCTGTCCCAGGCTCCAGATTCAGCAGCTGTTGAAACTGATCAGGCTGATTCCAGGAAGCTGGGGGCAGAGCAACTCTGCCTCCTGCTTCCTGTAGTCAGCCCCTGGTCAGTTTCAGTGGCAGCAGCTGAATCTGGAGCCAGTTCCAACTTACATACAAATTCAACTTAAGAACAAACCTATAGTCCCTATCTTGTACGTAACCCGGGGACTGCCTGTATTTTGTTTGTTGGATGACCCCTTTTATGAAACAAATCCCCTTGAAAAGCCTGGGCCTGGCAGTGCACGCTTTCAAGGGGGAGAGGCAATGGCCCTGGGGATGTGGCATTCTTTGCCCCTCACATGGATTTTTTCTTAGAGGCTGACGTGCTGTGTACACCCAATTACAGTGCTCCATGCTCTGGGGGAGAAACACCAAAGAAACCCACTGCAGTAGCACCTCACTGCAAACAGGGGACGTTCACGATAGCACTCGCAGCATGGAGGGCAGCACTCAGTGTCTGGCATTGTGGCCAGGCCAGTGATAAACACAGCTGATCGTGAGCCAGGCAAGGGTTAAGGAATTCCTATGCCACAATCCGTCCTTATGCCCTGCGCCCATGGGGCTGCTGCTGCTCAGGTGAGACACAAGCCCTTAGAAGAGAGGAACTCCACGCAGCTGCAGGGGCACTCAGAGCAAGCAGGCCCTGGCTCTGGCACCCAGACTTGGGGACCAGCCTGTGTCACTAACTGACCCAGAGCCTGCGAAAGGTGCGTGACTAAGCCCTCTGAGAAAGGAGACAGATTGGGCTGATTATCCTTTGTAGAACTCCCTTCTCAGCCCCAGGATTAAGCCCTGACCTTTACTTGCCCTGAGGCCTGGGAACGAAGCTGCCCGACAGACTGCTTCCCTCTCCCTTGCACAAGGAAGGGGGCAGGTCAGTATATGGGGGCTTGCTTTATATCCCGAGGGGGGTGGACTCACTAACGGCAGGCTGTACCCACACCCAGGGCTGGGCTGCCCAGAGAAGAAGGCAGGAGTTCAGTGAGCTGGCTGCTCTCCCTTGGAACATTCACTTCAGACAGGAGTACGCATTCATTTGTGAATATGACATAGGGTTAATCAAAATGGTTCACACATCAATGGGGGTATAAGAGTAACCCCAGATGCCCTTTGTAATGCGTATATGTTGCTGCAAAGACAGAGAGGTAGTTTTAGAGCTGGAATCCGATTGTGTAATACAAATTAAGAGCAAACTGTAGGACAATAGAAATGAGTGATAGCTCAGACTTACCAGAGCCTTGTCCAAAATAACATACATTTCTAGATATCTGGAGTGTCTGATGAAACTCTGTTGTGACTTAAAGCAAATAGTACATTAAGGAATTACTTCTGCATTATACCTGGGATGCTCATTACTAGCAGTGTGAATAGACACAGAGAGCAGAGGTCACAAACAAGATGCAGAATGCCCAAGCTTCATTAGTGCAATTCAGAAACGACTAAATCAATCGGTGGGAAAAGCCCTGATGAGACAAAGCTCTGTTGTTCCCTGATGGCCTGGCTGAAACTCTTCTCATAACCAGTTGTGTAGGGGAGAGTCCTGTGCAGATACAAAATTGGTACCCACTTCTGCAACGAGCCACAGATGGATATCTGCACCCACACCTGCAGCTGTGATACCTGCAGCTATAAAGAGGATATCCATGGATTTGCCAGGCTCTAGTATAGGGGTACTGATAATGAAAAGTGAAAGTGGGAGGTAGACACTGTCTACATATGGATGGCCACTTACACTCACAACTGACAGAGAGAACTGACGATTTCCAGGTGCCCGGAGCTATGTCAGGTGCTGAACGGTAGTGTGGGGCTCCATGGAGGAGATTTAGGAGTGTAAACCTCAGCCCAATTTGTGAGGCCTCAGCTATGCTGTCTCCACTGTGATTTTTGAGGGTGTGTGCCTAAAGCCCTCCCCATTAGGAGAATATCCCCGTTAGCAGTAAAACATCAATGGGCAAGATGGTGACACAGGACATCAAGATCTCTCAAACCAGTTGAGGGCACTTGATCACATTCCCACAAGCATGCAAGAACCACAGCTTCCCAGCCACATTCTTTCCTAATAAAGTAATGGCTTCTACTAGCCATGTCGCATCCCCATGTCTCCATCCATGGCCAGGAAAGTAATGTGTGTTGTCACAATGCCCAATCAAAAGAGGTAAAATATTGTTCATACCCCAGCTGAGTTGCTCAGTGTCTGAATATCAGACATATGGAATAAACCAAAATTACCACAATGTAGTGACTTTGCCCTGTCTTTCAGACTTAACACCAAGGGACAAATTCAGTAATATCCACACAACCCCACAAGCTTTGATGGGGATGTGCAAGTGGAACTAAGAAAAGAATCTGGTTCCAAATATTTAGTAATTTTAGAGTAGATCAGATACTAACATATTAAACGTTATCTTAGCAAAGCAAAGCAAATCAACCAGCACTCACTTTTATTCCTGTATCCAGCTTGCGTGCCATCCCTTCACTCCATATAACAGAATCGTTTTCTACAAAAAGCAGGCTCTCTGTGTTTTCATTCCATATCTGATAAACTAGATGCTGAAATCCAGGTGTGGAGTCCAAAGGCTCAATTCCATAGCTGACATTCTTTAACTGCAGTATCCCTCTGAAAAAGCCACAACTGTGTGAAACTAGAACATGGTTTGAGTTGAAACCACAATCAGTCAGAAAGGCAACAGAGACTGTAAACGCAAAAAAACTTTTAGAACTATTTAACTTCTGTATTTCAATAACAGCGATGCCATTACCTAAGTCCAGAACAGGTGCTGAGTGTCACCGCTGAATCTGGAAAACCTGCAACATAGCCTTTGTAGAAACAATCACGCTAGAAAAAATAATGAAAGAAAAATGGCTTACTTATCAGTAAGAGCAGTTCACTACCCACGAGCTGGAAGTCATTTCAGAACTGAAATGCTGAGGCAGTGCATAGCCATAATGAATCAGGTAGTGCTCTCAGTCTGATTTGAAAGGGCATGCTCCCATGGATGGATTAAAGGACACTGACTGCAGTCTGCACACGTGAGAAGATAGGAGAGAACTGGAAAACTCCAAAGACCAACTTTTCACTGTTGTACCTCTCTCAGGCAAAATTAACCTTTTGCGGGCCCCACTGCCCGAACTGGGGTCCTGCCTCCCACTTGGCCCATTCTCTGCCCCAAGGCCTCGCCCCTGCTCAGTCTCTTCTCCCAGGGCCCCACCTGCTGCTCACGAGAGGAGCAGACAGATCTGGAGTGGGGACAAAGAGGAGCAAGTGGTGACTGGGGACTCAGATCAGGAGGCTGAGGGGGGTGGAGCACAGACAAAGTGAGGGGCTGGAGCACAGGGCCTCTTCTCAGTGTGGCTGGGTGCCATGGCGCCACTGTAATCCCAGTACTGCTCCTCCACAAAGCTGCACAGTCTGGAGACTACTATCTATCTATCTATCTCAGGCACTTCTATGGTCTCCATTACCAGGGTATCTGAGCACCTCCATGGCACTCATGTAAGGTTACCACATGCCCCCATCTCGTAGGGACGGTCCCAATATTCGGGCTTTGTCTTATATTGGCATCTATCATCCCCCGCCCCATCTCGATTTTTCACTTCCTGTCTGGCCTGCCTACATTCATATAAGGTAAGGAAGTTCTATGGGGAAGTGAAACAGAGACACAGTAACATTGTCCAAAGCTACACAGGAAGCCTGGGGGAGGAGGGGAGTAATTTCAATCTAGGTCTGTCAACTCCGAGGCTAGGGCCTTAATCATTGGACCATCCTTCCTTTCCAATACTCCAGTGCTATATCTATAATGAAATGCTCAGGGTTGTAAGAAATCCGTTTTTCTTTTACATCTGTTTTTCTTTTGATTTTACAAACAACTCTGATCTTCACAGTTAAATTATGCTACTGATTTTATGCATTTCAAAAATGTTCAGCATTGGCGTAAATCCACTCCAACTAACTTTAATGGGAACCAAGTCAAATCGACGCTAACAGCTTCAGAAAACCCCTATGTAAAGCTCTGTTATAGTGCTTTTACCTCAGATACTTTCTTGATAAGGCAGTTAATCCAGTTCTACATTTAAATATTATAATTTGTACTTACAAATATCCATTAGAGTTACTATCTTTGACTGAAAAGTTTATGCCAGGACTAGCAATAAGAAAAGCCTTAAGAACATTCCAACAGGAAAGTCATCTTAATATTTTTAAATTATAAGTTAAATTCCCAGACAGTATTTCTAACAGTAATTGATTTTATTTTGAAAAAGCTAAGCCTGCAAAATACTGTAAATAAATCTTACCTTAATATGTGGGAAATCAGATTGAACAGCCCCATCTCGGCTGTAAGTATACACCCTGAAAGTACTGGGTAAAAATACTCTATTAAAAAGAAAAAAGTTTGAATTCCAAAACAAGTAGCATACACTCCTGAAAATGAAAAGCGCGCACACACTTATTTCAACATGCTGCAAAGACTTTTCCACCCTTGTTTCTTGATTCACAATTTAATGTTTTATGGTTTCTTTCTGACTAGAAAACTGTTGAGTGAGATTAGCTGAGGTGACAGTAGTGAGCAGGCTTCAAGATACACAGCTACAAACCCTCTGCAGGATCCAGGTTCTTTTGCAGTGTAATCTCAGACTCCTGTTTCAGGTCTTGAAACGCAAGAACACAGGGATCTATAAAAGTACTTTCTCTTCAAGAATCTTAGATTCACCATTTATCAGTGCTTAATACGGTACTAAGAATAACAGACTAAGGCTCTGTCTAGACTGCAGAGCTTTTCCCAGATACTGGAGGTATCCCGGAAAAACTCTGCCACATCCAGGGAACACGTCGGCCTTTTTTGGAATAGTTTCCGAAAAAGCAGGCATGTTCTTTCAGCATCCCTGAATTCCTCATTTTATGAGGAATAAGGGATGTTCTAAAAGAGGAGGTTTTTCAGACATTTGACCCCGTCTACATGGGGCCAAATGTCGGAAAAGCCTCTTCCGAAAACACAAACGGAAAAAGATACGCAATTTTGTATCTCTCCCTCCCTCCCAAAAAACGGCAGTGTAGACATAGCCTAAAGCAATAAATTGGAGAAGTCTGGACTCTTGGAGACAACAAATAACAACCAAAGATTGGAAAACAAGAGGAAGTGAAAAACGAGTCATCCAGTACCTGACAGGATTTATTAGAAACATTTATTATAACTGATCACACGATCCTCAGCCAAAGGGTGAGGAACAAAGTTAGTCACTTACTGTTGCTTCAGGTGAAGAGTGTATGACCTCTCTTCTATTGTAATGATGTAGGACACCTGTTCCTAAAGCACCCAGAATGATAGAGAATTTACTAACAGTTTTTTAAATAGTTCAGTAATTCTACTAAACAGGAACATACGTGCTCGCTGAAGAAGTACACTGCAAGTATTTCTCAAGAGAATGGGCAGAGATTAAAATATTCCAAATCAGGAATTGGCCCCTCTCAACTTCTAACAAAATATATTGTTTGTACCCTTCCAAAGTCCTGTGCCATACAGAGTGACTCGATCTTTGATTTCTTAAACTGAATCATAAATTCCTTTTAAAAGAAGTTCCTTGTCTATAACCAACCACAGCTAAGGAGCAGGAGAAACTGTGAAAAGTGAAAACAGTACAACAATTCAAAATATATAGTTACAATCAATAAACTATGTCAAATCCTGTTCCAATTACCACAGGGGACAAAATCATCTATCAATGTACAATGCTATAGAATTTACAGGAATATTTTATGTGGCAATATAATTTCTATGCAAAGTGCAACGCTATGAAGTTATTTTCACAGGAGCCAAATAATTATACTGAAGGAGCAAATGGAACAAACTCATGGGGGTTCGTTAAATCATGATGTTCAGCTATCATACAACATTTAACTACAATCATTGATCAAAATTATTATAATTTAAAAGACAAGTAACACTACGTGCAAATTATTTACGTAATGATTGCCATAATGCTTCAGAGCAGTTGCAGTCTAATCTAGTATCCTTTCTCCAGCAATAGCCTGTACCAGATATGTCAAAGGCAGGTACAAGAAGTATAGAGGGCCATTATGGAATAATCTGCTCATAAATGTATTTCAACCCGCCCCTGCACCCTTGGTTAGCTTTTGGATTATACCCTGAATAAGGAGTGTTTATATCCCTTATAAAAACTGTTGACCAATAAAACGTTTATTTTCTTTTAGCAGTCACAAATACGTTACTTTCCATTTCCACTGAATATGTCAATGTTCTTACTCTTACTTTACACATCTCATCAAAATACCGTCTCTTGTTCATCTTCTTAACTGAACTCGCCTAATCTCAGAGATGCATTTCCCCATGTGTCTAATTGTGTCGAATTGTTTTGTTGCTCAAATCTAGACCTCTTCTATTTCTGTAACATTTTTCAGAGACAAGCTATCGAGAATGGAATATGATACAGGTGAGAGTCTGGTATCAATTTGTGTGATCAGATATTATTTTCAGTATTATTTCTCTTCCAATATTTATATACATTTTTGACTGGTGCTGCATTCTGGGCAAATGACTTCAGTGAGATTTTCGTAGTGAACCAGGAGGATCTTTCTCCAGGGACATTACATTAATTTAAAACACCACAACACTTTCATTGAGCATTACTTTGCATGTGACAAGACTATATTTCAAGGCCATAGCTTTAAGATTTTGGAATCTCAGACTTTTTTAAAAAATGTTGTACAAAAGATTTGCAGTTCCCCTTTAAATCGAGAAGTTTAAATGCTCAAGGACTTTGCCACATGGAGTTCAATATGTCAAGACGGTTGACTGTCCAATATTTCATGATGTTGCACAGAAATAATAAAAGCTACAAATTTGGGCATGGCAGATTTTTCAGTTGTACCTTCAGCATAAGCAAAATTATTATATTCTAGTTCATTTTGAATGATTAATTTTCTTAATTATACTCAGTAGTACCAGGTTTCCATTTTGATTTGATGGCATTGACCATGGAACCATGATCTGCAGAAATGATCGTTGAGAACCTGGAGAAGAAAATAATCTTCACCAACTGTATTACTCTAGGGGAGGGGGTCGTTCCCCGTGGGGGGAGTGATGCCATGGAAGGGGTCTCTCTTGGGGCCAGTTATATGAGCAGGTCTCTCCCTGGCGGGGGACAGTGATATAAAGTGGGTCTCTTGTGGCAGGGGTGCAGTGACATGGGGGGTCTTTTTGGGGGGCAGGCCAGTGAACAGGGTCTCTCCGTTATATGAGCAGGTCTCTCCCTGGCGGGGGACAGTGATATAAAGTGGGTCTCTTGTGGCAGGGGTGCAGTGACATGGGGGGTCTTTTTGGGGGGCAGGCCAGTGAACAGGGTCTCTCCCCGGGCAGGGAGCAGTGACATGGGGGGGTCTCTTTGGGGGGCAGGCCAGG